AGACCATGCACTTGTGTTTTTCGATTACATTTACCACGCAACAATAGACGTGTCTGAAAACCAGCACACGCACCGTTATTGACCACAAAACCTTGTGCTAAACCTTGCTGCCTCAAGCAACAGATTCAACCAGAACAGCTAGGTCCACTGGAGTCCCAAGTACGAGAAGTAGTCTACTTCAGCAAATTCCTGACCGTCTAGTTTCAGAACGGGACCTGTCGATACCCAATCTTGCAGTATCACTTTACACTTTGAAGGTGCAAAGCGCATGCCGAACCGAGCAACAGAACTTGTTTATTTGCCAAGTGCGCTCCGTACATCCTCCATAAATTCGAACAGGCAAACCTTGTCGTCACCGTATTCTANNNCAGTTTTTCTCTAGTTGCCAATTCAATAACAACATTTTGGCGATCACCAATTGCGTTCTTTAGTACTTCGTCTACGACGAAATTGAACAGGAATGGTGAAGTAGGGCAGCACTGACAAACACCGTTGCTGGTTTCGAAATATTCTCTTGGTCCACCGGAGCCCCTCACACTACCGGAAATATGCAGAAACAATGCATGTATTAGGTCCATAATCTTCTGCGGCTTTCCTTTACGAAGCTACAAACTGGAGCTTCAGGCCAAGGAACACAGCGATTGTTGGTCAACGATGTGTGTGGCCTCATTCAAAGACTTGACGCAGGACGAAGATTTGGTTTATGTAACCGCGACCTGGTCGGAATCTCGTTTGCTGTTAACCAATATTTACCTACATCCTGTGTCACGGAAGTCCACAGTTATGATTATCGGAACTAAACTAATCCCGCGATTCCTGTGCGCAGTTGTTGCGTGATTTCTTACTGAAGATCGGAACGATCAACGAATCGCCTCAGGATAAAGGGATACGCTCTCTCGACTAAATGCTGCGAAGTTAGATGGTAATTAATGACCAGTATGCGACGAACTTCGCTGTTACATATGGTGTGACAGTGTTAGGTTATTCCCTAATGCATAACCTACTTCCATTTAACTGGCTATTTGGACTCACCAATATTCGTCATTTTTCTTAAGGCTTTTCCTGAGCTGTCGCTGTAGATGCCGCCGGTTTTCATGTTGAGTCTGGCAGAGTGGGATCTTTCATTTTTGTTCCATCAGGATTACTGACTCCTGGGAGATCCATTTTCTTCGGCGAACTTCGTTCCCACAAGCAGTTTGCTGCTGAACGCATTGCACGTCCGATTTGATCGAGTACATGCACTAGTAACTGAGTAACGAGGCCAAACCGATTACACTGATCTTTTTGCATGTGGATCACCCATCCAAACTGTATATGTATATGGAATACATCAGTCAGGAGTTGGGCTGTTTTTCATAGAGTATGGTGTAAATCGATAAGTGAACTTCCAAGGTTAGTTGTTCAAACTACGTTGTTTGGCCTGTTGGAGAAAAATATAGTCTTGTTTGAATTCCGAAAAGATCAGCTGTTAATCCGTGGGAACTTAGCATGTACGGAGCCCGGCTTATTAGCCACAACCAAGAGGGCAAGCGGAATGACTTGTTGGCATGTTGAACAGAAAGATCACAGGTAGGTAGATTAGAACGGGCTTCAAAAAGGTTCAAAGGGAAAGGAAGTGTTCCGTAACCTATATCCTAACGCATCAGTACTAATCAATATCCCATCAGCAGACGCATGCCAATAAGATATGTATCCCATAACAATATGGCCTCCTGGAAACGATCACGTAATAAGAGTCCTTGATAGGTATTGCAAGACCACCTAACCTCAGTGAAGGAGATAGCAAAGGTAATCGTGAGCTCACTGGGTGTTGGGGTGGACAACAGTTAGATTAGACGGAGTTAACCACATCCGGGAACGTTACAAGCAAACGCGGCAGATGCAAATAATACGATGAAACCTCGGAAGATGCAAGTCTGTAAACCTTTGAGTCACAAAGACAAAAATAGTTAACCACGCATATCTATTCTACCCTAATGAGCAAATAAACTTAGTGCGTTCTAGATCCTTCATTACCAGTTTTTATCGATCTCTCATGAGTTAGCTCGTATTTGCGTACAAACAGAATCAGACGACACTACACGAATTCACGCGCATGGCCACGCATCACAACATATCTACATCGTCCAAGTATTTCATAAATAAAACCACCCCACCCCCCACCCCCGTTGTACCGAATAATGTGCAACGATCTATTTGGCTTAGCGCGCCTGTAAGAACGCCACGCTCATGTGCTTAGTAAACGATTCACTCAGTAGGCTGTGGCCCAGTTTCCTTAAGCGTTTGTCATAACAACAACTGCCGCGTATTATACTTTGTTTATTTCCTTTGCTCTATTTCACAAGCAGTTAATACGTTCCGGGTATTGTCAAAATGGTCATTTCGACTGATTAGTACCGAGTACATCACCTAAGCGACACAGAAGGAACTCATCCTCGAAGGATACGGTAGGGCATGAGCTCGAAGGAACTGAATTCATACTTTGCATTACCCGACACTAGATTTATGCATAATGATTAGTAAACAAGTCAGTATGTGCTACTGCGGAATGAACTCCTTACTCACTGAGGTTCATTATCGAAACGATTATAAGCACTTTGTCTAGCTGTTATATGGTGTACACAGGCAAGCATTTAGAAGGCAGGAGAGATATCCAGTATACCTGTAGTAATAGATAGTTTCATGTGCACATTACTCCATACATTATAACGGTAAGTGGAGAGGTGATGCTCCCAAGAATTGGAGATTATCAAGAGGTACTTACTAATAACATTTTGGAGAAGACCGCATTCCCATAGGTCACAGGTAAACTTTTGAATGATTTGCACAGCTTCTCCGGAAAGAGAGGTCGACCAAGACCGTCCTTCCCGCGATTGAATGATTAATCTTAGGGCATCGACAATTGCGAAGTGACTTTCGAAGTACAGTAAAACAGCTAGAAACCCCCTTGAAATGTTTCGATAAGATGGCAACTGGCTTTCCGCTGCAACGTTTTACAAATTAACAGGCAACTATTAATTACCTGTTAGTAGCAACTCAACCATCATAAGTTCATTAGCATCGAACAAGTCGCTCAGAAGCAAGACTTCATCGGTAAAATCCTGAGAAAGCACTACTTTTTGGTGTACATACGGTAAGGAGATGGGTTCTCTCGATGATTTCTTGACCGCTTCCCGATGACCCGCATCTTTATTCTAAAAGACAAGCTATTATTGTAAATTTATCGCATACTAGTGGCTTTAGAGGAAGAAGAAATAAATCTTTATGTTTATCCAATGAAACTTCGAGTTCCAAGAGTCTACTTTCTTTGCCGTTTTCGACAACATCTATTACTAGCTGCTGCAACGACTTGCAGGTGGACCACATGCTGAAGTGTAGCGCAGAATCCACAAGTTTTGAAAAACCACGGTCACTCCGTTCGGGTCAGGTCACAGGACTAGCGGCTGATGCCAAAGGAGCGCCCAGTTTCTTGCGCAGTCGAGCTCAACCGTTCTGGATGCGCTTCGACAGCTTTTGAAATTCTCGCCTCACTTAGCGGTGTTTTTGTAGTGATCAACGAATTCCCTTTCTACGTGTACCCTTCCTCTTGTGTACCTTATTGTTTTACCACGCCAAGACCACCTCTTTGGTCAGCACGCGTTTCCTGTCACTTTTCCGCACGCTTGCTCACGCCTCTGTATCTCTCTCTTGCTCTGCAGGTCTTTATAATACACGTCGTCCTCCGTTTCGTGAATCGCCTCGTTCTCTCCTCGTACGAACGTACGTTTGCGACATAGCCGTAATCTCTCGGGGTATCGATAAGCTAGTGCCTACAAATTGGTGAGCCCTCTAATTTTAATTCTATTTGCGTTGTAAAATTTTTTTTTAGGAGAAATTTTAATTTCTCTAGGTCACATCGCTAGTGATTTGTCCGCATATTTATTTTTAAGTTTCAGTTATTGTTCGTATATTTTTTATATTATATTTATCTCTAGTTTGCGGTTTAAC